GTTTGAGCAGTGTAGAGTAGCGCTTGTTGTTTGTCATTTCTCCGATCACAAATGCAGACATGGTTTTATGTTTACGCGGCGCGATGCAACGCAAAGAGTAAAAACACAGTATAAGTCCTTATAATCAGTAATTATTTATGTCCCCACTGGATGCAACAAATGCCTCTGGATAGCTGGCCAATCAGAGCACACCTCGCTTTTCAGAATGATGAACTTTGTAAAAATTTACACGTTTCAGAAAGGCGGGGCATAGAGGAGAAACAATTATGTACATTATGTGGAAATTAACCTTAAACCGCATAAACACATTGCATTACACCAAATACACAAAATAATGCTCTTTTTAGCAACATCATATGACCCCTTTAAAGCAAACTTCAGACAGCCCCAAAATGAGTCTGTCTGCAAAATCCCTGTGGACAGGCGATGAAGATACAAACCTAGCGCCCTCTTTAATTACTGATAAGTTGCGAGCCAGCTAAACTCAGTGGATTGTTCCTGCCGGAGGCCCTAATCACTTTAAAGCGGACCGCTGATCCTAACCGCTGCATTGGAGTGTTCTGTGGCAGTCCGTGCTTCTGAAACAGACACTATCGGCCTGCTGGTCTCACTCTTGTTAAAGCAGCGGTTCTCAATTTCAGTCCTTGCGTACCCCCGCTCTGCACATTTTGTATGTTTCTCTTATTGCTTCAGATGTTTGTTATATTTGACTGTAAGTGCCCTGCGAAGTGGACATTACCGGATATTCCGCCATGATTCCAGTTTGAAGGGAGCGTATAAGTTCCATACAAAGGGCATTTAAGTGTGCGAGACGTGAATTTAAATTGTATTTATTTACAGAGGTATATTATGTCCCACTTCACGCTTCTCTAGTAAGTTTTGTATGTGTGTGAAGACGCTCCAGGCAGCGGCGCAGCGCAAATCTGTAAATGAATATTCCGAAGTGAAGTAAACTTCAATAGATTTCCCTTGCTCAGGCAGTTGGGAGCAATGAACACTGTGTAGGGACCATGTCAATCGGAACACAGTTAATGCACGGAGCTCACTTCTAACGAGATGATGATCTGAATCAGGTGTGTTAACAAAGAGAGACATGCAAAACATGCAGAGCGGGGGTACGCAAGGACTGGAATTGAGAACAGCTGTGTTAAGGCAGTGGTTCTCAAACCTGTCCTGGAGTACCCCCAGCTCTGCACATTTTGTATGTCTCCCTATATCTGACACACCCACTTCAGGTCTTGCAGTCTCCACTAATGAGCTGATGAGTTGAATCAGGTGTGATAGATGAGGGAGACATACAAAATATGCAGGGCTGGGGGTACTCCAGGACGGGTTTGAGAACCACTGCGTTAAGGGATAGTAAAAATTATGAAAGTGTGACAAGGGTATACAGTACTTCATGTGAGATAAAATTTCTAAATAGTTTTAAATGGGCTTAAACATTTCACAGTTGCAATTTAGATTTCAATAACATTCTCTGTCCTTTCTCTGACACTGCAATACATAAAACATGCATAAAACAATGTAAAGCTAAAATGATCATGGTTTTACAGCATAAAAAAACATATTTTTCCATGACATTATATGTAAATTCAGTAATGGGGAACTGTTAAGACAAACGTTTAGAAAAATATGATTTTCATATCACATTCTGAGCAACATACAATAACAAAGACTTCAACTGATAAAACTTTCAGTATTTTATTCATTTGTACATCTCCATCCCCTTGTTCCCCCTGAAAGTAAACATGATCATACAGATGATAATTACTTCTAATATATATTTTTGACAGTTTTACAGCCCTGTACAAGAGCATGGATTTCATGGGGTTCACATCTACATCAGCAACATCAGTTTCTTTGCCCAAAGAACCGAGAACAAGCAAATATGGGATTGGGAGCTGGGATAGAGAGAGTGTGGGGTTTTGGGTTAACAGACAATGAGTGAAGGCATATACAGAAGCAGCTCCATCAGGATAAACTATGTACAATACAAACCATTCATACAAATTAGGCTCTATGATATAGAATTCAGTACATTACAGTGTATTATAAGTGACAGTGAGCAAGCCCTCCAATCATTCCTGGATCTTATTGAACTACAGGACACAGCTAGGGCCGAACAAGCCGTAATTATTACAGTACAGCTTCCTTGTAATAGGTAGAAAACATGCCTGTAGTTAAGGCCTGCTCATAACCAGCAGAACAAAGCCATTGTCCTCACCTTTGGGCCTTTGGGCTGGGAGGAATAACTGAAGAATGCGTGGGGACTCCAGGGCTGTTCAAAAGTTTGTAGGTGGAGGGAACATTGAGATTCTGACTGCGATTAATTCTCCAGCGACATCTCTTCTGAGGCAAACTACCATCGAAACGAAAAAAGTCCTATTGTATCTACGCCCTCATGGTCTCTTGGCAGTTCTAATAAACATGTTCATACTTGTACAAATAAACTAATTAAATATTCTGAAACTCAAACATTTCTAAATTAAAACAGAACATTACAGGACAAAAGTGTGAGTGTACATGGTCATACAAGCAACACCCCAGTGGTAAAATAATATTCTAAGAACATTAAAATATATAAACAATAAATTAACAATAATGTGTGCCGTAACTTAAAGCATACCAAGTGAGCAAACAAAAGCACTACATTATGCCCTCAAATGAAAGTTTTCGTGTGGTCCTTGTGCAAATAGTCAAATACTTCTCTTTTCAAGTTGTTTTAATAGATCTGGGCCATGAGCGCATGGTATGGGCAGTACGGGGAACATGTATTTGTTGTGGATGGGGAGAGAGCTCCATCCTTTGCCTCGTTGTCCTTCATGTGGGACGTCAGCGGCTACCTTCAGCCGGAAGGGAAGTAAGGAGTATCACTGTGGTAGTTATAATCTGGGCAGACTTTCTGCACAAGCTTGTAGTCGGTGCTGTAGAAGGAGATGTAAATGCAAATGACTTTGAAGGGCTTTGAGCAGAGCCAGGATACGTGGCTTTGTGTCTGCTCTTGGTAACATGTCTTGGACGGGTCGAAGTTGCAGAGCGTGTTCTTGGAGCCCTTCTCAACTTTCTCGTACTCGATGCGGCAGTTGAAGGACTTGGAATCCTTGGAGTCAATGACCGACTGCTGGGCCGTCAAATCAAACTCAACGATTTTGCTCGGCGGGACCAGGCTGACGGACACGTTGCCCTGGCCCGTGGAGTTATGGCGGAAGAAGACGCTGAAGGTGCCGTTGCCGTGATCGACGATCTTACCGGTGATCAGAAGGTTGAGCTTGACCGTTTTGATGTTGGAGTGGAAATCTCCCCAGCCGAACATTTTCTTGAACTTGCCCGTCTTGACCATTGGCCGCCGTTTGGCTCGAGGCCTGGAGTCCTGTAGGTCCGTGGTATTCCTCAGCCAGTCCCAGAGGTCCTGCTCTGAGTAAGGCTCCGGAGTGTCATAGTGCAGGTCCAGGGCTGTTGCATTTTCCTTCCCATGGAGAGTCTGTGATAGAAGTCGACTGATGGACAAGTCCTTACTGCTTTCTGTCCATATATGCTTTAGTGTCGACTTGGGGCTCCCTGATTTGAGCAGCTCCGACTTCCCCGGGATAGAACCGTGGGTACTTGAAACCTAAGAAAGCAAGATGGAGAGGATGTTATTGAGCCTTCTTAACCTTAAAGAGCTACAGAAGACACATAATGCAAAACAAGTGAGCATTTCATCCAGTGCAGCTTGACAGGAAAAATGAATTAAGTGGATATTACTCTTGATTCGGGAGATATTGACCCCTCACCCCCACACAATCATGTAGTCTAATACTCAACAGACAGATCAAATGGATTAGGATGAGGGAGGAAAAAAGATAATCGATCGAGCCCGCAAGCTTCAATTTGCAACATGTTAGCTGACAGGAGCTGTCTGGGAAATGGAACGGAGCGTGGCGAATGAGAAAAAGAATACAACAATCAAACTCGCCACATTGTGTGGTTGGGGAGGGGATCTCCGCTGGCCCCCCCTGATAATACCGGTGACTATTCTTTGAGTAAAGAGCAGACTATTAACCAGCCACTGCTCCTTGAATTGATGATTGATGAACCACTGGGTTCTCTCCATTTAGTGCAGATGAGTGGAATTAGGTCCATACAGGGCCTGGCGGAGCGCAGTGACATTGATTGCCTGATTTCTACTGTAAGACCTGACAGCAGATCTGTCTTGCGGTGGTTTATAAAAGAATACACAACTCAACATGCACCTTTACCTGACAAGCACTCACACTAGTGATGAAGAACCCTGGGAAGAGAGTTCAAATATATTTCCAATGAAATTAAGTATCATTACTCTTCCTCATGTGTGGAGTAAGAGGCCTTGCCCTGTACTAAAAGAGGGTAATATGTTTTGTGCTCTGGGAGCATGATTAAAGACAGAGTTATTATTTATTAATGGCTAAATGCTGAAGGGGCAATACAGGGTCTGGCGGAGCGCAGTGACATTGATTGCCTGATTTCTACTGTAAGACCTGACAGCAGATCTGTCTTGCGGTGGTTTTTGCATCTCGAGGGCTACCCCTGGGATCGATAGTTAGAAAATAAGGTCTCGCTACCAATCTGCCCGACCCTTCGGACAGAATTGCCTCACAGCATGAGCGAGGGCGATGCAGGTCCAGTTTAAACACAGTGCTGGTTGGGAGCAAGGCCACGTGGCTCACTTAAGGATTCCATGTTGCGAACCTGAAAGGTAATCGATATCTGACTTGAAGCGTTGTTCAAAATGCAAATTAAGAGAAGTTTAACTTAAAACTTAGAAATTGCATGATAGTGGTCTGGTCACGTTCAGAACTCATTATTATTTATTAATGGCTAAATGCTGAAGGGGCAATACAAACATTCCAAGGCTGAGCAAGTTTCAAGGAGCTATTTGTGTGAAGTTCAGTGCAGCCTGACCGACTGGGAGGGCACTTGCATTGATAAATGGATCTGTATAGTGCTTGTTTTAACAAAATGTTGAGGGAAAAACATGTTTTCATGCTTATGTATTCATCATCCAATGGAATATAGTTCAATACAATAAAACAATTGCAAAATGTTTTAGCAAGTGTCCTAGGTGATGTAATTTACAGTCAGGATATAGTCAGCTAGTCACGATCATATTAATATTAATAACTATATAATAATTCTTAATGCTATTACTACTACTACTTATTTTAATAATAATAATTTCCAATTGAATGGGTTTTCAATTATTTTATTTTGTAATCTGTTCTACGCTTTATGTTCTTGTTCTTTTATATTTATTATTCTATGACACTCATTCATTCATTTCTGTAATGCACTTTGTAAACACTGTTTTAAAAAGATGCTATAGAAATAAAGCTTTATATACTAAACGAGGATGTCTTGTATCACCCTGAAAGTTTATTTGATAATGACTGGCTAACCTGCTTATTTGAAAACTAATTACCAAATAAATGGACATGAAATGACATTGAAGTTGAAATTATTTTACTGCAAAGAGATTTGTCAACAGTCAAATATGCAGTTTAAAGGTCATTATACCAAAATATTTGATGGCAGAATGCTGCAATTGACCAATCAGAATAAAACATTTCAGATATTCATGAAAATTAAGTAATTAATTAGTCTCGTAAGTTTTAGCATTTTAGCTCTTACATTAAAAAAAACAGTCAGTTAAAAGGTAAAGTTAAATCCTGAGGCTTGCACTGAAAAACAGATCTGGCTTTACTGTCTAACACTTCGCCTATGGCTAGTCTTTTTCTGTCCACCTTTGGAGACCTTATAAAGCTCACACGTGGAAAGCACAAACAGCAAAACACTGGCCAGGAGTCAGTTCTCCTGGGCACAAATCCTGCACACATAGCAGGTGTCTGAATGCAAGCCTCCGTCTGTCCAGTCTGTCTTGCCATGACGGGCTTGGATCCAGCCCGACTGCTGGAGCTTTACGGAGCCAGCTGCAGTGCTCACCTGAGGCAACAGTGCATCTGGTAAACACATTCGGGGGGGGGAGTCACGGCCAGGCCCTTCCCACCTCACCCACTGACAGCCGGCCAGCCAGGCACAAACAGCTGGGCTCCCCCAGGCACTGCACTGCACTGCATCAGGTCAGCAAGAGCAGCATGTGTACACCAATCTGTGTGCCTGGTGTGAGTCTTAATGAGTCTGCCTGCTTGAAGAAGTTCAAGGCTCACAGATCAGATCATAATGGTTACATTCTTAATCCAACAGCAAGCTGAACTACATGAAACATTATAAAAGAGATTTTACAAATGCAAACATTGTTCATTCAAACAATACAGGAGTCAGGACATGCTGTTCAGCAACACTGGGAGTGTGCGAAAAGATACATTTTAAAATTAAAATATATAATAATATAATATACAATATAATATAATTTATTCTTTCATATATAATTATTAAAAAAATATGAGAAAAACAATACATTATGTTCACACTGAATAGTAATCAAAGAAATGTGAGTGCAAATTAAATTCAGTAACTTGCCAAATAATGTTTTTTAGAATTATGAACAGTCACATACAGAACGGTGTGCCAAATTCTAACAGAAAATTAAACACTTTAAAATACTACTACTCTTTGAAAGTTACTTAACGTTGAAATACATGTTCTATGACTGCACTGCACCAACCAATGGCAAGAATCAGACCCTGCTCGCCTAACATAAGCCAGAGCTACATTTGGTCCTAATTAATGATAGCAGATTAAATGGAATAATTACGCAGTCTAATTCTGAAAATGCAATTATGTTATTGCCGCACATTTGTGTTTCTATTTGAATGTTAATTTGCACTAATTAAGGTATTTATATGCATCAATAAGTCAACTACAGTGTTAGCTAGCATATTATTGACAAATTGATTACATCGTCAGGGCTGTTTACTTAGTAAGTGAAACATTACAATGTGCTTGTTCCCTGCATTTCTGCAGGTGTCCATATCTTTAAAACTGGCCCATTAAAAGAGAACATTTAAAACAGCTCTTTAAAATCATAATCAGCCCTGACTTCAGGGGGTGTCCTTTAAAGAGAGTAAAAAAAAAGAATGTGTGTTATGATCAATAAAGAAAAATATTATTATATATTGCAAAAAACATATCATAAATTGAAAGTGTGTGTGTGTGTGTGTGTGTATATATCAAATAAAATAATAATAAATAAAATATTTGATATATGGAATTCTATATTATATTATATTATTGTATTATATATAGATTATATATATATATATATATATATATATATGCTCAAAATTCCCATAACATATGTCTACATTATGGAGGGTAAGTACTCTTGCTGTGAAGTAACTTCCTTTCAGAGTTGTATTGTCTCTTTGACAGAGCTGGCGTACAAAACAGCAGGTGGGCTAAAGGTCAACCGATAATGACCATTGTTAAAATAGCTTTTGTAAAACAACGGTAGTAAGAGAATGAGCAGAGGGGGTAGATAAAACCCAGAGCAGAGAAAGAACTGCTTCAACTGTTACCCTGACCATTTACCTTTACACTACAGAAATACACTAAACGCGAAGTGAGGAGAATTACAAAAACACATCCGCCTGAGATAAACGTCCCAGAGAAAACACGGTCCTTATCAATAAAACCACTAAGTCAAGGCCAAAACCTCTACCGTGCAAAACAATATGCCAATGTGCCTCACTTTAACAACCTCCCAAACAACGTTTACAGCCTGGGACATGAGATTAAATAGTGCATATCTTCTTCCTCCTCAGAAATTCACTGTCATCCACAACCTAGAAGCTTAAACAAGGCACCTCATGCTGTGGCCATCCTGAGAGAAATGAAAAGGAAAGGCAAAAATGAAGATGGATTTCAACTAAATCCAATTCTGCTAACAAAGCACTTGCAGGCTTTGCTAGCCCCCCTTTCCTCGCTGCCTGCTGCGTGCATTTGGTTTGTAGGAGTGTGAGGCATTGCACAGGCCCATTAGCGGCATAACTAAGCACTGTGCTTTAGGATGGGCCGCTGGGGCAGAGGCATGCTTGCTGCAAGAGTTGGACAGCTGCTAAGCAGCCATGGAATATCAGGCTGTGACCACGCACTAGAACTGCCTAATGGTGTCATAAGAAGACCGTTAGATGCACCATTAAAGCAGGCTGTCATGCTCGTTGTGTAGCAGCCTGTGTGTTTGTAACAATGCCCATGGATTCCCCTGATACTGTCAAGTAGGTATTGCAACAGAAGTGTGACACACTGACCGTACAAAAACTGTTCCGTATGCCCAGTATGAGATGCATTTTCTGCATTTACGAATGCAATTATGAAAGAGCCAAACGAGAATATTAAAACGCATGTCTGTTTCAGCATGACAGGAACTCATTTGAACACAATGGCCACGTTTACAAGGCAACAGAATACGATCATCAGTGCTTGTTAATATGGACCGTTTGTTCTTGCATTTACAACATAAGACACTGCATTGAGGAGTGGAAAACAACATTTTTTAACAGCATTTAAACGTTCAGCTAGCGTGGATTTACATTGGTAACCAATTAAAGTGCAGTGTAAATTGTGAAAAAAGGCCACATTGGAGCCTATTTACTCAGAACTTTGAAAACATAAAAAAAATAAAAATGTGACACC